CAAAAGGAAGACCTTTCTCTCTCTCTCTCTCACTGTCCACTCTGCCTGTCAAAAAATAAAAAAATAAAATAAAAGAGAGAGAGAGAGAGAGGACAGACAGGCTTACATACAAAGGGCATGCACAGAGCCTGGATGACAGAATTCAGATTTGGACACAGAGTTTAGGGGCAAGGCACACCTTCACAGAAAAGACAGCAGGCAGCAGGTATCAAAAGCGGAAGGAGTGGGCAAAGAATCAGCACAGAATTCCTGGAGTCAGGAGACCCAGGAGAACAGAGGAGACACAGGCAGGTAAAGACCAGGAACATTTTGCTTCATGCATCTCTACCTACCAAGAGCCCATCATAGGGGAGCTGGCCCAGCTCTGCAAGAGGGAGAATGTCCCGGTCACAAGCGGCCAAGGAGTACTCGCTGGTGCAGCAGCAGTAACTTGTATTGAATGAATCCAGAATCTTTTACCATAGGCAGCGGAAAAGAGAATAGGGGTCCTGGCTGGATTTAGAAATTTACAATTTTCCTGGGCTTGCGTTTGCTCCAATTAAAATGCCTATCCCAGAGGCCAGCATTATGATACAGCCAGTTAACCCTCAGCTTGGAATGCCAGCATCCCATTTTGGAGCGCTGGTTCAAGTAAACCATGTTCCACTTCCAATCTAGCCTCCTGGAAAGGCAGCAGGAGATGCCCCAAGTACTCGGGCCCCTGCCACCCATGCGAGAGACCCAGATGGAGTTCCTGGCTCCTAGCCTTGCACTGTTCCAGACCTGACAGTTGCAGCCATTTGGGGAGTGAACCAGAGGATGGAAGATCTCTCTGTCTCTCCTTTCTCTTTGTCACTCTGCTTTTCAAATAAATAAATAAATACATCTTAAAATAAAAAATAAAATGAAATGTCTATTCTAGAGAAGGCTATTGCCTGATAGTCACAAAGACACACAAAGTGGTTTCAGTAAAAAGGCAGGAACTGATAAACCATGCTGGGGCCGCTCCCAAGGATGTAGCCAGGAAATACTGAAACCAGAGTTGGAAATCAGGACTGGAAGCAGCTCCCTCTCCACCTCCTCTGATTCCCTCGCAGGCCTTCCTTCTGTCTTATCTCTGAGTGCCAGTCCTTTCTGGAGACAGGTTTTATCTGCGTCCCTATGGCTGTCTCCCGCAGCATGGTAATAGAGTTAAATCCATGCAACCATCTCCCAGGGTGGCATGCACACTCTCAGGGGAACAAAATCCTGTCTGCCCAGCAACTGAGAAGTCGAGGGACTGCCTGAGAGCCCAGAGCACTTAGGAAGTGGAAATGACAGAAGAGAGGGTGCTCTCCCATACAACCAACCCCACTTGGGCCAAAGACTCCCTACGGCCAGCTTTGCAGAAGGGGCTTAGCTTATCTCTGCAATTACAAGATAAGGAATGTATCCAAGTTAGACACTGCTGATACATCCCCAGTGAGATTTCCTACATTCTGCTACAGGAGACCTATCAACAAGGAGGAGCCAAGTACAACTCCAGTCATAGTGAAAGGTCAGTTCCACAGGACAGCACAAACTCAGAATGTTTCCTCCACTGTGTCTCATGCTTTGTGCAGACCCAGCAGCCCACACTCAGGCTTACAGAGGACAAGGCAATTTTCCTGTTTACCCAAAAAGAATAGGATTAATGCAATCATACTGTTTCAGGCAGCCATTTAATCCATACCAAAGGCAAACAAAACGCAGTTTGTGAACCCCGAGTGAGTGGAAGATTACCTGTTTTAACTTCCCCCAAGTTACCCTCATAAGGAAGCCACAGACTAAAGCTGACAACCAACACTCAAAGCCTGAAACTTCCTGTATTTAATTTTCTGAGCCGTCAGCACCCCATCCTTGACCCACTGTCAGCAAAGAAACAGAATCAGAAACAAGTCAGGGTCAAGGCGGCAGGTGCAGAGGGATTTTCAGAAGTGGCCTCCAGAGCTCTGGCTCTCACCCACCTGGGTCCCAGCCCCAGCTTGGCCACTTCTGATCTGCATGACCTATGTGAGTTCTTGTGCCACATCTCCCACTCTCACTTTTCTCATTGCAAACACCAATACTAATACCCGCATTACTGGACGGTGATGAGGGTAATACCCTAAAATATTTAATTTCAGTGTTTGCTCATTAGAATCTTATTGCAAAGATCAATTCTGCCTAAATTTACAGTTCACTTTTCAGTTTCATTTTTGTCCTTTTTCTCCCCTCCCCACCCCCGACATCTCTGAAATGTATGTTTCTGAGACAGAATAGAAACTTGCAAATAGCTGAATCTTAAGTTTCTCTAAGGCATTTGCAAGTTATGCTTTTGCTATGTAACATGACATTTTCCCCACTGCACTAAAAGAACCCGAGTTAATGGCCCAAGAAGCAATGAAGACTAAGACTACTTGAGAAAATGAGTTTGAATAACATGAGAAAAGTAAGGGAGGGGCCTTCCGGAGGATCTGAGAATCACAAGTGCCCCTCAGTTGTAAATTTGTTTGCTTGTGAGACCAGGGCTGGGGGATGGTTTTTTCTCCTTTGAAATCACAGGTAAGTTTTTTTTTTTTTAATCTTTCACAGAGAAAGGGAGACTATCTCATCTGCAAGCAAAAATCAGAAACTAACAGAATGCAAAGTTTCAAAAATTAGTCACTGGTTACCATGGCAATGCAAATATTACCTAACAACTCAATGGGCTGTATGTAACCAAGATGGTGCTAAATACATTATTTTAAGAATGGAAAAAATTCGCCATTTTTAGGAATACTTGCAAGGAACGAGATGAGACTGAGCAGCAGACCGAGGGCAGCGTAGGTCTGACCCTGCAGAACCCAGATTCCCAGTCTCCTCCCACCCTGTGGGTGTCCTGCTCTGGGTCTCTCTCTCTCTCTCTCTCTCTCTCTCTCACACACACACACACACACACACACACATGCACGCACGCACACGCAGCTGTGCCCAGTAACAGCTGCAGGAGGAAGAGCAATGACATTTTATTTACAAACAAAGGGCTCCGGTCAGGAAGAGGACTCATCTCAGTCTCTAAATTTTTAATAAAAGAATAGTCTCTGCCACTACTGTGGCAGACTCGGGTGGGCAGCCTCTTACATTAAAGGTAAACATTTTCTCTGGCAATATGAGATTTTCCAGAAAATGGCTAATATGAACTTCAAAATATTAATTTTCCCCTTTTTCTCAGTAGTTGGAATTATCTGAGTAGATGTGAATTTTAATTAGGAAAAAAAATCATATGCATTATAAATGTTATTAATTTTTAAATTATTCTAAACAACAGGCCCTGGAGCAGTGTCTCTCTGAGTGGTCCCTGGGTATTCCATACCAGAAGTCCCTGGGGTGCTCCTTAGAACGCAAAAAGCCTACACTGTATGCAAGGCATATTTGATTGGAGTCTCTGGGTTGGAATCTAAACTTCCACATGTTTGAAAGCTTCTTCGTGTGGTCTTTACGTTCTCTAAAGCCTGAGAACCTCATCATTAGTCATCACCAATACACTGAGGTCTCCCAGACAGCCACAGGGGTCACAAGCCACACACTACTCAAAGGCAGGGCTTTTGATGACTTGGTGGCTTTCTGACCACAATCCATTGTAATTGTATAACCCAGAGCAATCTACATTTACTATATATGTGGGTGTATGAATCAAATATTTCATATACAACACAAGTGATTCCACTGTATTACATTCCAATCTCTAAAGGTCTCACAGTCAACTGAATTGGTTTCACTACCAAGTACTTGGAGACGAATGGAACCATGGTGATACCTTTAACAGCTAACTGTTTATATCCTCTTCATCTCCCCAAGAATATCATGAAAGTTACATGGGTGCAGTTTAAAATATATTAGAGATACTAAGAAAAAAGAAGACAGGAAACTAAATGTTTATGAAATGAATCAAAGGGGAACTTAAATGAAAAGCCTGCCAGGAAATCCAGTCCACAGGTTAACTCTCAGCTTTCTGGCAACCAGCGTGAAGGGGAAAACACGATCAGTTATAAAATTCCCAGTGCCCATTTGAAAAGAACAAAGCAGTTAGTGAGAAGCATTGCCATGCCTCTGCTGGCACCTTCCTGCTGAAACAAATGCCCTGCCCTTGCCATATTCTTTAGGGTAAAGCAAGTGAGTCTCCCATGGAGGAGGGTCCTTGTTCCTGCCTCAATCTCCTAGCACCACCTGATTCACAGATTAAAATTATCCTCAATCTAGGGACTGCAGATTGGGATAGACAAAGCCTGCTGGGTCGTGGGGCCTGAGGTCACCTGACTGTCCTCACAGAGCATGATGTACTCACTTCCATTCAGCACTGGCCACCTTGCTGTAAGCACAGCTGCTTGCCAGTCTGTCTGTTCCTTACCTCTCTGCCAACTCACAAGGTTATCATTTCCAGGAAGACAACATTGGCCCCGATGTATTTCAGTGAGCTCTTCAGAAAACTGGACTGAATGCTAAAATACTCTAGGACCATTGTAGTCTTCATGAACCCCTCCTTCTCCTACAAGCTTACTAAAGCAAGCTAAAAATCACCCTAGAAAAAAACGAAGGTTCCCAAGAGCTATAAAACACATAGCACCCACACACGCCACATGTCAGAAAGTGTCTTATCACTGTTTTAAGTACTTGAAGCAAGAGTTACAGGCGGCTTTGGGGGAGAAATTCTGAGAAAGGAGAGCTAAACTTAGCCATTAAGCATCAAATCAATTCTTTCAGCAAGCAATAAGAAAGAGGAGTAATTAACATATTCACTACTGGAAGGTAAATGCAGTTTCTAAGTAGGACTTGGAAATGTAGTTGGTCTTCACTCCTGAATGGGCTAAGTATTGTCTTGCTGAAACTAAAAGAGCAGTTGTTTGCTTTAAGACCCTGTTTTCATGGATGACAGAGATGTAAAATTTAGATCAGCATGTCTAGTCCTGAACAGCAGAAACATCAGTCATGATTTACTTCCCTTAAATATAAGTTTCCCAGATTAAATAACGTGGTTGACCTACCTTTTCGGTGATATAGAAGTTTGAACTATCGGCATGTTGCAGCGCAAAATACTCATGGTTGGCAAGAGACCACCTTAAAAATACAAGTATAAACTGATCAGTGAAACCAAAGTGGTTATTTTCACTTTTATAAGGTGAAATAAATTAAAATCCTTGGGACTGGATTCATGCCAGTCCAAATACACACCAGAATGCAGTGCCTAAAACAAAATGACATTAGCCCACCTTTTGCTACTCTGAGACCACCCATTTCATACGTGTCTGTCTAGTCCTTTCAAGTCTATTGTTCACCTGCCAGCAATTCATCTTCAAAGCTTAGGGTGGGGATTTAAATATAGTTTGCTATATTCCACCTTATTTTGAAGGACTGAAGCAGAAAGAGGAAAAGAAAGGAAGTGAATACAATTTATGCTGGTGATTATTTGGCACATTTCAGTTGTCTCTGTATTCTGCATTCCCCAATCAGGATAGTTGATGCAGACTGGAACACTCCAGTTAAATACTCTGGATCCTAGATTCTAGGTAATTCTCTATTCACAGTTCTGCTTTAAAAGCCAAAAAAAAAAAAATCTCCTGCAACTTCTGTAATGTGCTCTTTCTTTGAATTGCTTAGAGCAGCCAGAGAGAAGTAGGAAAGCCACGTCAGAGTGAAACTTCAGGTGGGTGCACAACGGTGCACTGACTGGACTTTGGAACTCTTTCATCTTCTATGGGGACTGGAGTGGTCCTCTCCGTGCATAACAGATGTCTGTATTTAACCTCAGGAACCTTTAGCCTGCACTCTACTGGGGAGGACAAAAGGAACGAGGCAACTTGCCAAAATAGATGAAAACAACCCCACTGTGCACATAACAGTCATTTGACACTTTCTGCTCTTTGAGGAATAATAGTGAATTCTGGGTAGATATAAGTGCATAACTTTTACAGGGTAACTTTTCGTGACGTTGGGCCGGTCAAGTGGTGACTTGTGATAATAGTCACCGTTCCACTAGCAATCTTGGATTTGCCTGCCAGCTGACAGATGAGGGTCCCTAGGGTGAATACTGAACAACACTCACCCGTCACAGACTTCCTTTATTATTGCAGACAGTGGTTTTCTCTGCAAAATAAAAAAGGAAAGATTTTCTGTTAGTTTCATTTCATCATTTCAAATTTAAAAAGAAGAAGAAGCCTTAAAAAGTTACCTAAGCAAGAATTTACATTTGCTATTCTTAGTGGCTGCCAACGAGTCTCTTATTTTTCTCAAGGTAACAATCTACCAGTCATCACCACTACATTTATTAATGATTGATTACCCTTTGGGCCCTTTTTTCTTGTATCATATTTAATTCAGCTGCATTAAAATTAGGATGTTCAAAAATCTCACAGGCAATGAAAGCCCCCAAGGTCAAGTCAGAACCAGAGTTGCTCAAGTAGTACATGAGCCAGGGAAGCAGTGGCTTAGTTTTATGCAAACAAGCTTCAATTCATGATATTTTTATGAGAACCTGGGGCAAATGGAAGATGAGCCCTTGAAAAACTGTTTCAGCAAAGTACATGGAATTCCTCCCCCAAACACAGCCCCGATACATACCAATCTCAAAGCAGCTTGGGCCCTACACACTCAAGTAATGAAACCGTGACACCATGTGCCGTGGTGTCAACTGGCGGCTGACCACAGCTGTGCTCTGGCACTCCACAGCCACAGTTGCACCCTGCCTGCCCCCCACCGCCCCAGATAGAAGGAATGCAGCAAAGGGACACCCCAGTTCCCCTAGAGATGTCAAAACTCTTTCTGCTTTGGATGCAAACAGATCCTGTCTGTCTCTTAGGGCAGCATACAGTGTGTCAACCAAAACATCTAATTGCACACAAGAAACAAAAGAAGAAGACAGGAAGAGAAATCAGAGAAGTAGAATATATGGCCCTGGATTTTCAGATATAGCATAGAAAAGCCATGCATAAATATAAATATAGTCTGCCATCCTCTGTGAGGCCTCTTTGGGCCTGCTCAAAGCTCCAACGCAGTGCACAGTGCCCCTCCAGTGAACTCCCGCTCACTGGAGCTCCAGGCTCTTGGCCATGTTTACCACCAAAAGAATGTTCAAGGACAAAAAGATTGCCTCTGCCTATACGTGCAGTTGGGGGAAAGGGGAGACTTAAAATTGTTGAGGGGTGAAAAAATGTTGGGTATAATTTTGACATCCTGAGTCAATCTGCAATAGAATCAAATTACAAAGGCTGACTGAGGGCACAGGTATGTGGCTCTGTGGTTAAGTCACTGGCCCACACGCCGTATCAGAGTACCTGAGTTTGAGTCTTACCTTCTCTACTTCCAATCCAACTTTCTGCTAATGCATATCTTGGGAAACAATGGATGCTAGTACTTGGGCCCCTGCCACCCACATGGGAGACCCAGATGAAGTACTGGGCTTCTGGCTTCAGGCTGTCACAATCCTGGCTATTATGGACTTTGGTGAGTGAACCAGCAGATGATTCTGCCTTTCAAATAAAATGAAAACAAATTTTAAAAAAATGATTATAGGGTTCTATAATGAAATTACACATTAAATATGCCCTTGGCCTTTTCAAGAACCTGTTCATTGTTGATGGGGTAGCTGTGAGCTGTGAGGGAGATATGTTCTCAAATCCAAATGGTACAGGGACTTCAAAAATGAAACTTTTCCCATGAGATGAGCATGTTGCACTTCCACCTGTCAGAGACCCCTCTAGACTACTGTTAGGTGATCAGGCCCTATCAGCAAGTCTCCTGGGACCAGATCTTACTACTTTCACCCTCAAAACTGAAATACAGAAGCAGGCATTGCAGCACAGGGAGTTAAACTGCCAGGTGGGATCCCTACATCCCATAACTCAAAACAGAGTGCCTGATTTGAGTCCCAACTACTTAATCTCTTATGCAGCTCACTGCTAATGCAACCCTGGAAAGTGGCAGATAACGTGGTCAATGACAGCTTAAATGCTTGAGTCCTGCCACCCATGTAAGAGAGCTAGGAGGAGTTCTAGGCTCCTGGCTTTGACCTAACCCAGCTTTGACTGTTGTGGGTATTTGGGGAGTGAACCATAGATGAAAAATCTCTCTCCCTCTCACTCCCTTTCTGTTGCTCTGCCTTTCAAATAAATAAACTGAAACATAAGCAACAGTCCAGATTGCCATCTTAAATTACATGGAAATAGTGCATCAGATCAGGAAGGGTTGCTCTTGAGGTAGGTGAAGGTAGGCAATTGTTCCCAGAGTCAAATTTCTTAGCTGAGGGCCCCTTGAGGAATAACTGGGACTTTAATACAGGTCTGATTCATAAAATCAGGATCAAGTTTTAAAAGACAGACATCTCTGGGGTACTATTATACCTAGAATATTCTGAAGTTGGATATACAAAAGGAATAAAGACCATGGAAATACAAAGCTTAGAGATTTAATAGAGAAAGATTAAAGAAAAACTAAACCACAGAGGGAAAAGAATCGTGGTTAACCGAACACCCATAATGCAGCCTTGCCAATTAAAATGAATGTTATGTAAGGACAGCCTCATCACCCACATCCTGGCCCTTCCGCACCAATCAAAAGTTAACCAGCATTACCGTAACCCAACTGCAATTGCCCTTCCACAGTTCTCACCTTCCTCTAACCATCTGGGTAATTTCATACTATCACTACTCCTTCTCTTTGAAGCCCCCTGGTCAGAGCCTCTATGATACAGCACAACCTGAATATACTTCAAGTTCATGGAAAATGGAATGAAAATAGAAGTTTGTTTTGCTGCAAACAATTCTGAAATTCACACTTATGTCTAAAAGTTCATGGAAAATATGTATTATGAAAAAACTATGCATGGATTTCAAACAGTTTTTGCACCAAAATAAACATCTTTCCATGAACTTTTTGAAGTGTCATTGTATTTCCTTCATTCTCCTCCATTTATAAGCAATTCTTCAATAAAGTCCAACAAGTCCTCCAGGGTTCCTCTGTGACCTTTAGCCTCTTAACCCCAAGTTTCTGTTCTTGTCTTCTCTGCCTTTACTGAATCACTCACTCTCTCAGGAGTCTCATTCACTTCAACTGTCCTAAGCACTCTCTTGCAAATCTGACAGTTCGCTAGAGGTCACACTGTAGCTCTCCTTCAGGTAAGTTATGAAATATACCAAGAGAATCAGCACTCACCAGTCACCTACCCCTCCATCCACCCTGAGCAGCACACACCAGCCTCCAGTTCTCCTCCCCACACCACACCATGATTTCTGTGCTCTCATAAAGACACCTTTGCTACCCAGGAATACCATGAACCTTCATGTCTTTATTCTTCGGCTATACTTTGTTATCAAGGTGTGTAGCCTTCTCCTGTGTGGTGCACACAGCATGACTTCTCATCTTCTAACTGTTCTGATGAACTCCTGGCTTTCCTCATTCCAACCCCTGTTGTCTGATGAATCCTCCCTCACCAAACTCCAATCTCATCACCATTCATTAGGTTTCTCTAAAACCAGTGCCTTCCTTAAGAACCCTCCCAGTAACTACTTGCCATAAATTTCCTATTAAATGTTCCACAGGTAAATCAATTCAAACTCACATCTTCCATTGGTTCCTCTCCTCAACTTGCCTACTTTCAGCCATTCTTGCAGGCACCTTTCTAGAGGTTTGTCCTTGCCTTCTAATTCTTCTTCTTCTTTTCAAGATTCATTTATTTATTCAAAGAGTGAGAGAGAGAGAGAGAGAGAGAGAATCTTCCATCTGCTGGTTCACTCCCCGAATGGCCGCAACAGTTGGGGCGGGACCAGGCTGGAGGCTGGAGGCTGGAGCCTGGAGCCAGGAGCTTCTTCCAGGTCTCCCACATGGGTGAAGGGGCCCAAGCACTTAAACCATCTTCTGCCGCTTTCCCAGGTGCATTAGCAGGGAGCTGTACAGGAAGTGGAGCAATCTGGACTCAAACCAGCGCCCATATGGGATGCCAGCATCACAGGCAGCAGCTGTACCGGCTACACCACAATGTGGCCCCCTTCTCGTTCTTCTTTACCCAGTCCTGTGACATTAACATTGATAAGACACTAACTCTCATTGTTGCCTCCTCCATAGCCTTTCTCCTCTTTATCCTTTCCAGACCCTTCCTACCACTTTTATTCTCAGGATCTCATCTCCACATCTCTACAAAGAAGTCTCCACATTTCTAGGTTCTTTTTCTCTGATCCCCATGTCAACAACAATTAGACATAATTAGACTTTCCCCATAAGTTTGCTCATGTCACTGTTTGGCTCCAATATCCTCCACGGGTCCCCACTGACTATCATATTAGTGTCAAAATGATTACAAAGCATAAATCCTTATCTTGTCATCCTTGGCTTTCTACAATCTGCTCTAAAGCAAGTCTACAATTCTGTACATGTTCCCCATGCTTCTGAATAATATTTTAAAGCTTCACACACACAAAACACACACACACACACACCTGCACACTTTCACTTATGACATTTGGTCTACTGAGCAGTCTTCCTTCTGTTCCCCTCTAACACTGAACTCTCACCTATCACTTAACATCCGTGCCAAAGCCACCTCCAATGTCCCCAGATAGATGTAATTATTCCCTTACATTAAGTGAATCATGCTTGAGGACTCTGTATATTTGCTTGTCTTCTTGTCCCTTGAGAACAATGCATCCTAACTCATTTCTGTAACCTTCCCCATACCTACCCATCAGTACTAGTTACCACAGTATGTAGGTGCTAACAGAGATGGAAAATTCATGCATTTACTAACTTCCCATTAATAAACAAAACAAAAACATACAAAGCAAGCTACTTTAAAGGGAAGCTTGGATTAACCAGTCCATTTCCCACTTCCTACTACGTAAACCACTGCTGGGCTGTTCTAAGCAGCTGCTGGCCATAAGCTATGAGACACGTGCAAGCTGTCACTACTCCCTACACAGAATCATCCCCTAGGAGTTAATGTGATTCATGACTTGGAAGAGCACTTGAGTGAGGCAGCTGATGAAGAATGAATTCCAACAGATGATAAAACAGATATTGGTCAAATGACTGTCATCATCAGTAAGCAGTCTACTCTCATAAGCAGAAAGACTGACCAAGATAACCAGTGTTCAAAA